ACTTTTCACTATATTTATTTGACAGCTATAATCAATGGCTGAAGATTGAAAATGTATAATTAATGACCTATTGAGCATACACAACAATTTGAAGTAGTTAAAAATACCTTATGCTACTTTTCATTTTACTAATATGAAGAGTTAAGAAGGAAAAGTACAAAACATTAATACAGATTTGTTTATCTGAATTGTTTTCCTTCTGTTCTCTCCCATTAATCACAGTTCCTCAGCTTTATCTTGTGAATATTTTGGGGAGTACATTTAATCAAGTACTGTGCTTGAGTACAATTTGAGGTATCTGTGCTTTACTTGAGTATTTTCAATTTGTTCTACTTTATACTTTGACTTCACTAGGCTACATTTTAAAGGCAAATACCATACTTTTTATTCCACCAGGCTGACATTTATTTTATAACTTTAGTTACTAGTTACTTTTCAGAATCAGATTTATAAAATACAGTATAATTGTAAGACTTTATTGATCCCTGGTAGGAAATTCTAAATATCCCCAGCAGAAATTCAAATTAGAAGTATAGTTAAAACTAGCTCCCTGTTTACCTGCTGCAATATTAAATGTGATGCACTGTACACAATAGTGTATCAATACTTATAATCAAAGAATATATATAATACTATATACTTTTGATAGACTAGTTTAAATATGGTTTGATGCTAATACTTTTGTACTTTTACTTGTAACAGTAACAGTGTGGTATTGCTGTTTTTACTTCATCTGGATGTACTTCAAAAGTGAAATACTGCTTACACATTGATGCAACATTATTACTAATGTTACATAATAGCCTATGGTTTATCAAATAGTCTAAGGAGCTTTTTGTTTCCTTCAGAAGGCTAAATAGGCCTACATTTTGTTGATAAGCTGTACCTTTCCTTAAGTAGGATTTATAATGCAGTAACTACTTATATATGGGTAGTTTTACATGAGTAAAATATTTGATTTGTCCAACAATGCAAATTAACAATTATTTCTTTTCTCTAGCTACGAGCGTTTGCATATGACGTCATTGTCTTCTCTTCCATCTCCTGCTCGGCTGCTAAACTGTTCTATGGCTGGGAATCAGTAGAGTGGATTAAGAAGGAGAGTGACGACATTTCCATTTATTCTATGAAAGCCTGAGACTTAAGCATTAGGAGCCGCCATAGAGTTACACTGACTTGGCCGCTGTCTTCCAAAGTAAGAAGATGAAATAGCAATAATTATATTTGTGATATTTTAAGTTAGCAACATGTTTCAAAACACGTTTTACAACCTTTTTTTACAGGCCTTCTGACATACTGGGTGAATTTAATAATTAGGTATGTAGCTAACTAGCTAAATTAGCTGAACCATCTATAGTAATTGTTGATAAATCGCGCTGTTCCTTACAGAAAACAATGGACCCTAATAGATTGGAATTATTTGACGCTACGTGAGTCACGTGTCCTGCTGCCATTTTTGACCACTTCAATGTTGCAACTCTCTTGTCTTAACGGCTCTGGGTACCAGCTGTGTTGAAATGGTTAAGTCTTCATCCTCGCAGGCAACAGAGGGCGGCATAAGGAGCTCTCGAAACTTGAAGTACAGCTAGTCAGGCAGGCAGGCAGGCAAGCACCAAAGCCGGAAGTTAGAGGGGACACCCAGTCTGGAAAAGGTAAGGAATTAGATTTGTCTTGTTTAGTGAGGTTTTGTCATACATACATTCATGCAGCAGCTAACGTCAGCTGTTAGCCTGGATTGGCTGTAACAGGCTACACATCGTGTTTGTGGTTTGTTGCAGTAACGAAATGCTAGCTGTTTTTAGCTCGCCAGTCAACATCAAACCATTCTGGTATGATTACTCACCCTTGAGCAAATCCAGGATATAAGCCGCTGTATTAATTACATGCAACGGGCTGAAGCTTTAATACATAGTTTCTGTCATATAGTGCAGGCGTTATCACACTGTTCATGTCATGTCTTAGGAATCGCTTTCTGGAAATTTGAGCAAGTTATGGTTAAGTGGATACGATTTAATAGTCTGGAACTATGTGACAGTGAACGCTATTGCATTACTACATTTTTCTCTTTGTTCCTCAATTTTACTGTAGACCTAAGACACATGATACGTTTAAATGAAAGACGGCACTTATCAACGTCACACCCACAAGCTAAATTATATGTTTTATATTGTTCCTGTTTATTATCTTGTCTGCCTGATTTTGTTGTACCTGTTGCAGTGTTTATGTAAAGAGTGACAATAAGTTCGATCTTTAATGGGAGATGGATAAAGTTGTCATTCACAACATACAGTATATGCTTTGGTATTGATATGTATCAAACGCTATTACAAATTAAATGACTAGATAAATTAAAGCGAGTTAAGTTACTGACAAATCAAGGTAGCCTACTTTATCACAGTGGTGCAAAAATCCTTTAAATCCACACTGGTGCCAAAATCCTCATTACATTATGGCAACATCTCTGTGTATATATCTCATGCTATATATCCTTACATTGCCCAGCCCTCTCACCACCGGATTAAATGGCTACAAAACAATTGTGAAAGCTGTTCCTTCCATATTATATATCTCCCTAAACCAGCCAAATAGCATCCTCAGACTCTTCTTTAAGATTCTCTGGTATATCGCATTTTTGTTCAATATAATCCAACCCAAATATCCATGTGTAATTTCAGAAAAAAAAGTAGCACTATTCACTCCGCCCACAGCACACTTTTGGCTGAGGAACCTGCAGAGCCTGTCAGAGCCTGCAGCTGCCAGCAGGTTTACTGGGGACAGACCTGTACTGTGCAATGGCTTTGTTGACTCTGCACAGGATCCCATCCATCAGCGCTCCGGTGAGTTCTGACATCATGGTGCCTTATCATACACAAACAAGTTGGTCCTTTTGCATTTTATCGTATGATAACTGTGCTTTACAAAGAGTGATTTCCAACTGTTTGAGCTGGTTGTACTGGGCACTTTGAAGTCTGCATGAAAAGCAGTCATCCCAGATTGTGGCCCTTTGTGGGTATCATTTGCCTGAATGATAATGAGGCTGTTTTGTTTATCAGTTGTTGCCAGGGATGTGATTACACTGACTTAGAGGACAAGCGTGCCACAGATGTAACCATAAGTATTCTGATTAAATTGCCTGCTGTGTCTAAATTTTCATTTTAACTGCTCTCATAAGATCAAATGAAAACTGCTGCGTCAGCCTCCATCTTTGACTTAAACTGTCCTCCTCTCACTCTGCTGCTGTTTCATTAAGATGCTTTAACACAACATCAAAGGCCTGACATTTCTTCTGGCCTCTATCGCCGGCAGCTAATCCATAAATGACCTGACTGTGGGTCTCATTTTTTGCATATTTTGTCACAGAATCTAATCACTTTATTATCTTAACTTGTTTTCTTTTTTTGTTCCTTCTCCTTCAAACCCTCATTCTTTTTTCTCCCCTTGCTCTGGCCCACTTCTCCTCTTTGTTTTCTTTGTTTTCTTGACTTTGTCTGGACTTGTCAGTTGTATAACAGGTAACATTGCTGTCTCAAGTTCATTTCTTCCCTAAATCCTTGTCACTACCGCTACTTTTCTCTCATTGCATTTCTCCTTTTATGTTTTATGCCTTTCCTCTAGAATTTTGGTGTCAATCTGTCCTCTATCCTCTGCTTACGTATCATTCTTTGTGTCTGTGTCTGTCTCCTCACTTCAGTCCTTTTGCATTACCTTATCTGCATTACACTATTTGTGTCCACGCTTGCAACAGGAAAACTATCACTACCTCCAATGCTCCCGGAAAGTCTGCTAAAGTGTATCAACACTTTAATTGTCATCAAGTTAGAAATGTGCCTTTTGGGAGCATTAGAAACAGTGTGGAACATATTTTTTTCATATTATGTAGTGAATTATAACGGCATCACCTGCTTAGAACTGTTTCTGATGTGTGTATGATGACTCTTTTTCACAATTATATACGTTACAGTTTGCTAGAATGCATACAAAAGATAAAATTATAAAAATCAGCATAAACAGCTGAGTTAGAAGGATGTAGGTTTGTCCACAAAAACTGGACCACACACAAACATAATACAGGCTTAATAGTTTTTTTTTCTTCTTGTGATTTATTTTTTTATAAGGATGAAAGCTTTCAAAGAAGAGGAAGACTTCAGAAAAGGTAGATTGTCATTTAATTATACTCTGATAAAATGACAACCAGTTGCTTGATGACAGCGGTGTTAAAGTCACTGATGTCTGCCCATCTCTAGGGAGAGCTTTGCCCTTGTGAAGGGAGCAGTTGTTCTGCTGGAAGAAGATGAGGGGGTGGGTCATCCTCAGGAGACTCCTGACACTGCAACTTCTCCTGGGAAGAAAGGCAGCAAAGCCTCTGATACGCAGTGCAGACACCTTCATGCAATGATCGAACTGCTCAGACCAGAAGATTCCATCAAACTGGTGAGGCCCGATGTTGCTACATGTTTCAGATCAGATTAGTAAAATCTGAAAAACGATAGTTTGTGACCTGGTTCTCAAAGCAAATTTGGTCTTGTAACGTGAAATCATATATCTCTTAACTATCTGTCTAAAACCACACTGGGTAGCAGTTCTGAGAACTGGAGTCTTCTGTTTCTTCAGTATTAGAACTACATTACTGTTAAGTTAGAGGGTAGCTGCCTATTTGCATTCAGCATAATTAAACATGTAATACTGGTCCAACAGTTTACCTGTGAGTAAGATTAAGTATGATTTGATGCACCACAGCAGGCTGCCTAAATGCAAAATGTGTCGCACATATCACACCCACATGCTTCAGCCCATTTACTGTGAAACACTGATGCTTTCCAAAGCCTTTGACTGGTTATGAAATTGACCAGGCAGGTTTGCAAGCAACTGCTGCATTTATTTCCTCACTAAAACATGAACGACTTGACTGATGATATGGGTAATCTGTCTCACTTAATTTTAAGGTTTATTTTGCCAGTTATGATGGCATGGTAACAACAAGTGAACATGGACTTTGTAAGAATCTTAAATTTAAAAATGTTTGCTTTTAGAAAATGGTAATGTGAAATAGAGTGTACATGATTTGGAGTTAATAGGCTAGAGCATGTAAAAGAACACAGCTTCCTGTAAGTGGACAGTAGCCAGTATCTGGAGTTACTGTAAACACAACATTGACTTCTTTGATTTGGAGAGCAAAGAAAACATACAGCACAGGATATTTTATACAGCTAATGGCCAGCTTCAGACTTTAAAGGGCAATGCAGCACATTTTATATGGCCTAACTTTCTGTCTCACACATCCTCTGCTATCTGCCACACAGGCGGTGCAGCTGGAGTCCACCAGCCTGGTCAGAGTCAGGTATCTGATCGTCGTCTCCACCCTCAGCAGCAAACAAGAGAGCATCCTGCTGGGCATGGATTTCCCCAGCTCAGACAGGTATGTGTAACCAGTATGCTGGTGTACTGTGTCACAGAGAGTGCACACGATAAAGGTTTCCATTCAGTTAACAATTAATGGTTTAGCTTTAAAGAGTTACACTTGTGTATCTGTGTCCTCCCCGCCTCATTTCAGTGATCAGTGCACCATTGGCCTGGTTCTGCCTATATGGAGTGACACTCAGGTGTACCTGGATGGAGACGGGTAAGAAACATTTTTTAAAAAAGCCTGAAGATCGAATTAAAAGCGTGAAAGCACAAGCGCATAGTTTGTGAGGCTGCAGCGCAGATGGTGCAGCCTGAGGTCTGGGATCCTAGCCAAAGATAATGTGAATGAATAATGTCTCTATTTATGGAGTTGAATCATTCTCCCTCAGTTACAACTGCTCCTATCAATCATTCACAGTTATGTAAGTATGTAGACCATGTGTTTCTGAAAGTAGAGTGTGGTCTGCTTCTTTCTCTGGCAGTGAGAGTTGAAATATTACCAAGGATTGTTCTGAACCAACTATACATATATGTTTAGTTGGCAAAACAGTGGCTGGGGATGTTTTTAAGATTGTAGCCACTTGTTATAGTGTTTGTTACAAATGTGTCACCTTTAGCCATCGATGCCCAGAAGAGGATGTAGAAAAGGGCACTGTGAAATAGAGTTAGCAGGTCTAAAAATAACATCACTCACTGTGTTGGATCTGCTGTCACATGTTGAGTGTCACAAAAGACACTTCGATTGGCAGCCATGTTACAGTAGCATGTTCACCCTCACCAGACTGGATCACACCTCCAACTGTGCTAATTTCTATTTCACTGTCCTCACATTTGCAGTGCCCACTGTCTTCACAAGAACCATCAGCAATTTACAGCGAATAAGTGAATAATCTCTCTCTGACTTCTAGTCTAATAATGCTTCTCTCCACTGGCTCCCTGTAAAATTCAGAATAGAATTTAAAATCCTTCTCCTAACATACAAAGCCGTTAATGACAAGGCTCCATCGTATCTTAAAGACCTCATAGAGCCTTACAGAGCCTAACAGAGCACTTGGCTCTCAAAGTGCAGGTTTACTTGTGGTTCCTAGAGTCCACAGAAGCAGAATGGGAGGCAGAGCCTTTAGCTATCAAGCTCCTCTCCTATGGAACCAACTCCCAGTCTCAGTTCAGGAGGCCAACACCCTCTCTACCTTTAAGATTAAACTTAAGACTTTCCTTTTTGTAAAGTTTATAGTTAGGACTGTTGTTCCATCATTGGTGATTGTGATAATATAGTTGACTCTATTGGTAATCCTGAAAAAGTGTGAAGTGTCAGACCCTCTCTGCCTTGCATATCCTTCCCTCTATCTGCGGTCATGAATATGACAGAGAGCTGCCTCCATCCTCAAAGACCTGTACTACTATTTAACTATTTATCTACATTATATTTCACTTGTGTTGTGTGGCACTCAGTGTGGACGGCAAAGTAAGAATTTCATTGTTTGTGATGATCCACAGCACATCCTATCATGAACTTTGTTTTTATTTTGGTGCACTTCCTCCTTTCCATCCCGCCAAGTCTCTGCTCCAGATTTACCTGCCATACACCTGTTTTCCACCTGGTAATCATCCAGCAGCACAGAGGCCGGCTTTCCCTGTTCAGTCCCATCAGTGAAGCGCTACTGCTTCACTCCTGTTCCTTCTCAGACACTGATGCAGCCAGACTCACCTTGGTTTGGATGTTTTAGTTCTTGTGTCTGTTAGTTTTTTGTGTCCGATTGACTACTCCTAATCTGCCTACTAGTAAAGCCTGTTTCCATGCAGACCATGTGGTGAGCGAACTCAGATGTTAATGTTAAAACATTCCTGTCCTTACTACAACTCCTACCACTTTATCCTTCATCTCTGTAGCCACTGTGAGACTTTTACTGTCCTCAACTTTATGTAGTGACATGACCTCCTCCTTCCCTCCCCCTGCTGTAAGGTCAGTGCTGCAGGTGTTGCATGGCTGCTGTGAACGGGCAGTAAAAGCCACACTGATCCCAGGCTGTGGCCTCGAGTGGGCCCAGCACTACCTCAAACATGTTGAGTCTGACCGCTTCTGCCTGAACGAATGGGAGGCCATGAATGATCTGGAGTCAGTCCGCAAGGACAGTAAAGGTCCGAGGTAAGAGACTGCACCGTTTAAATGCCAGTTCAGTGTTTCTTATGTATTCTTTTGTCTGCGAGAACTGAAACAGTGTTTCCAGTTCTGCTGTACTGGAAGAAGTAATTAGATGTTTTACTGAAGCCCACTACAAGTAAAAGTCTAGCATTCAAAATCTTGAATGAATTGAAAGCTCATATGCATCATCAGTGAAATGTAGTCAAAGTATTAAAGGTAATTCAATTTTGGAAATTCACTTCATTTCAACATACTCCGCCTGTATGTTGAAATAATACAATTAAAGTAGTGATAATGTTCTTATTTCTCATGCACACTTGTCAGCTTGTTTTAAAGTTTCCCCTTTTCTTGCATGGGAAGTTCGGCAGACAGAATCTCCAAGGAGTGCCTGATCAAAGAGCACCTGCGAGACATTATGAGGACTGAAGACTTGGACAACCTCACCTCTAAAATGGTAAGATGTGGGCACACATAAAGAGGAAGTATGCTCAAGTAAAGACAGAACTACTACAGCAAGGTTAAGGAAAACTAGAGAATTTAAAATTTCTGATGAAACTTTAGGTGTGTGAGCTCCGGCCACCGTGTCCCCTCGCGTTACCCGGCAGCATGCTATCACTGCTGAGCTGTTAGTCAGACTTGCAGGACACAGCAGTAGAAGGTTTGCCCACATGTGATGAAATAAGGCCCAATGGCATCATGTAGAGAATGATGTGGGATTTGGCTGAATCAGCCCATAATACAACACAATACATAAAAGTCCTAGAGCGGATTAAGTGATAGAGAAACAAACACAGAGATAATAACAGAAAGAGAGAGATGGACTGACAATGTGTGTGTCTGTGTGACAGACAGGGCGCTAGTATAAAACAATAAAAGTGATAGACATGAGATTCTTGGATCATATGAACCAGAACGACCTGCAGAACATTCTAGTATAGCATTTGTTCATGTGTGACAGAAACGTGACCCTGCCAGAACAGCATGAAATGACTTCGGAGGAAAAAAACCTCCAGAGGGGCTAAACAAGGGACTAAAATGCACCCACTTAACAAACAATAAATGATATCAGAATGATTTTTTGAACACTTGTAGGTCCAGGACCTTTGTATAATTGAGAAATGGGATGACTAATGTAAGGGATTAGCTCAACTGTAATGGGATGAAATTGTGGCAGAAGAATAATAAAACGGAACAAGTGGAAGCAGAATAAGAATGAGAAGCCTACAGGATTGCAAGAGGTGTGCTGAACTCCTTCAGAGCTCACACACCTCTAATAAAAGTCTGTGTATCTGATCTTTCTGTTGCTATGCTGTAGGTGCACTCTGCCCTGGAGACCAGGATAGGATTTGACATGAGGCCCTTCAAGGAGTACATTGACAATGAGATTCTGGTCACCATGGCACAGATGGACAACCCCTCTAAAATATTCGACTACCTTTACCTGGTGAGTAACTGCTCGGCTTCATAGACACTTTTCTTTGCCGCCATGCGAAAGAAGCCTTAATCTTACTTTGGCCAATAAACTGACAAGTGTGGTTTCACCAGTGTTGTCATGTGACTCTAACTTCCCCTTTGTGGGAGAGTTGTGTTCTGAGCGATAGGGAAGATGACTGTGTAGGCCCTTTCCTTCTCGTCCTCTGTGCCCTCAACTGAAACTTTCTTTATCTGGTTTCAGGGCTCTGAGTGGAATGCAGCAAACTTTGAGGAACTGCAGAAAAACAAGTCAGTGGTTCCCCCCCCCCCCCCCCTA